TTCTCGTTTCCTTCTTCTTTTCAATAGAGATACGAAACACTATTCAGCTCGTTCTTTGTTTCTGGAGGCCTCTAGATATTGATATACACCAGATCATCCCTACAAGTAACGCATCATTATCAAAACTTCTAATGACACTAATGACACGCTCTGCTTATAAGGTAGGCATTACTTCCCTTGGCAACAACACAGTAATACACAAGCTTGATGTATCTCAGCAGTGCCCTCCACGTCTTATGCTTATATTCTCTTGTATAATCTGTGGCGAGGACCCTTCAATGACTAAAAAGCAGATTATAACTGCACTATCAGAAGATGGTATCTCAGTTCGTATTGCAATGCACATCCATAACTCACATGGCCTAACATACGTGATACGAATCCTCACTGATGTTGTGGATCATCTTCTTCGTCATAGTGCCTCCTTATTCCGGTAAGAGTTGAAGCATCAAGAATTCCGTCATCTCAACCAATGTGTTGTGATCATTGCCTAGACTGTAACTTTCATCCTTCAGTCGAATGCACCAACAGACCAACTTGTTCAAGTTATCGGACCCCCCCCCCACCACACTCACTTGCGTGATAAGCTGGATGCCACTCCTTCTGTAACACCTATCAACTGGACCATCCCACTTGTTCTTATAATTTAAAGGCAAACCTTCTCCTAAACCAGATGATCCTTCCACTGTATCACCTATAGGCATGTCTGACACTGTAACTTCTGTCAACAACCCTGTATTTCCACCTCTGACTGTAGAGTATTTTCTATGTTTCATATCTATCACATTACACAATATTCGTCTCTACCAATTTACTTTTATGTCCGATGAAATTCGTTTCGCTTCTAAATATGTTTTCTAAATCCATACGTAGGCTACCTATTCTGGCTTAAACAGTCATTCTTACTTTAGACCATTGTTGATACATGGGTGGTCAGATCAGCTTTGGAACAGATTGTCGAATTTCCTTTTTTAAATACTCGTTTTCTTAAAGCCAATCGACCTTTGTCGGAACCATTATTGCTTCGCAAATCTATTGATTGTGTCTTATTTAATAAGACCTTTCTTGAGCCAGCATTTTTTACACCGTTGTCTGGTTATAATTTACACCGGAGTGATAATTCACGAGGAATAGTTAGGGAAAGAGTGGCAGTTGGTCCTAAGACTTCATTACCTGTTCGGGTTCATAGCTAGCACCACTTCAGCTTCTCAAAGTACCTCATCATTGCTATATATGTTTCATCCTGTAAAATCACACTTGCTACCATATATGTCAAATAAACAGAAGTATTGCATCTTCCCTTCTTCACTTTTCGTTATCAAAAGCTACATCTGGTGTCAACATTCACAGCCGATCCTCTTCTGAACCACGACTCTTTAATGTTACTCTGGAGTACGTGGGTGATTTTCTTCTGAAACTTCCATGTCGTACACGTCCTAAATTAAATTCCGCACCAAATATTGCCCTTTTCTCTTCTAATATTGACGTTTTTCCACCTATTGACAATAATCATCTCCATCTCAAGCTTGCTCCCAGAACCTCGTACATACGACCACATGCTATTTTCGTACAGCTGAGTGTTTTGTGTTATTGTTTTCAACATTACATATATACTGCACTTCAATACATTGATTCCAACCTCTCCACATTAAAGGATATTCGTGATTTACCTCATACTCTTGCATCCGCTAACTCTTCAGCCAGTTTTCAATACGTTCTAGCTATTTATTAGCGTCCACATAAACCTTCTATATTTCCTTGATACAGTGATCTCATGTTTTGTTTCGAGAATTTCAGTGCACCAAGAATTCTATGGTTCTTAAACGATATAGGCGTCTTGAACTAACTGCTCTTAGTTTTATTATTGCAACAAAGAGACTACAATGGAGGATAACTGTGTGACATTTTTCATTCCTCCCGGTATTGGAATGCTAACTGGCTAATTATACTGTCCTAAATATCTTGTTCTTGTTGATAATGTCTTACGTCACTCCTACTTCCTCCTTAGAAAAGGTCAGTGTCTTTGCCAATTTTTGAAACACTTTTTCAAACAATTATTGTCACTCTTTTGACACCGATATCACTCTGGATACCTCCCATCTTGCCAATACTAACCTTTCAGAATTTATGCCAAAGTTTTTCCGTGATGTGGATGATGTTGTTGTTTTTTAACAGCGCCTATATTCATGCTTTACATAATAAACGAAATATAGCATCTGCATTGGACAAAATTACATACTCCCATCTTCAGAATACTTCTCGCATATTCTATCTACTAGCCGCCCCCTAGTGGCACAGCGATAAGTCTGCGGATTTATAACGCTAGAAACCGGGTTTCAATACCCGTGGTGGTCACAGCACAGATAACCCGTTGTGCAGCTTTGTGCTTAACTACAAATAAACAAAATATACTACTAGCCACGTTATTTGCTGTCACTTGAAGCACATGATTTTACCATCACTCATGGAAACTCTCCTAAATCCTTTTATTTCTTAAACTTAATAAACCACTTTCCTTAATGACCTATTATCGTTCGATTAGTCTTACCAATTTTTTCAGCAGGAAATATTGAATATATTGTAGTCTCTAGGCTCCATTGTTGTATTTCAGAGCACTAACTCCTGCCCAATTCTCAAGCGTGACTTAGGCCTCAACTTTTTACCTTAGACCAGTTCCTCAGGTTGTCTGATGTTGTCACCATTCGTTTTATCTCAAGCATGATTTCGGCCTCAGTTTTTTGCCTTGAACCAGTTCCTCAGGTTGTCATCAGTCGTTTTATCTCAAGCGTGATTTCGCCCTCAATTTTTTACCTTAGACCAGTTCCTCAGGTTGTTTGATGTTGTCATCAGTCGTTTTATCTCAAGCATGATTTCGGCCTCAGTTTTTTGCCTTGAACCAGTTTCTCAGGTTGTCATCAGTCGTTTTATCTCAAGCGTGATTTCGGCCTCAATTTTTTACCTTAGACCAGTTCCTCAGGTTGTTTGATGTTGTCACCAATCGTTTTAATACCAATTGCCCATCTTAACCTCTGCTTTTCGACTTTAAGAAAGCATTTGATATCGTTTGCCATCTTAGATTGATTTATAAACTTCGCTCCAAGAAACTATCTATTATTTATGTCCGACTTGTGACTTCTTTACTTCATCAACGTCAGGCTACCATATAATTGCAGAACATCGTATGGACTCGATCTTTCCATATCCATCCATCTTCAATGTCAGTTTTCATTGACAGTTGTTACTTTCTGCATATTTGATTTGTGATGCTATCATTATTGTTCACTTCTGAGTCTCCCACTTGTTTCTTCAGACTTGCCTATCATACATAGATTGAATGTTCTTTTTGAACTTGTCCATCCACAGTTTCCCACTTGTGGATACGTTTTCTGCCTCCCTCCTGGCTCAAACGTAAATTTGAAGGCTTATAACACTAAAAACCTGGTTTCAATACCCGTAGTGAGTACAACACAGATAGCTCATGTGTAGCTTTGTGCTAAACAATAAAACAAACAAATTTTCCTGGTCCAATAGAAGGCGCAACCTCTGCTGGCTTACCATTTCCCATACTGAGACTGAAATGAAATTATATTGAAAAAGTATTTAATTCCCTCTTCCAAGCAGTACTGATAAACCGTGAACTCGGCGAAACTCTACTGTAGAAAGTTTGTTTGTTTTGAATTTCGCGCAAAGCTACACGAGGGCTATCTGCGCGAGCCGTCCCTAATTTAGCAGTGTAAGACCACCCAAATATTGGAAATACGCATATTAAGTTAAATTCTTGTTTCTATGATGAAACGTTTCAAGTTTTGTTTACTTAATTAAAAGTATTAGCTTTATAAACATTTTGAAATTATTTTCTAACGGGTCAGAATTTAAATTTTAAATACTGTTTAATGTTCTTAATAGGATAATTAACTTTGTATTCTTTTTATTTGGATGATCCGCTCTGATATGGGATTATAGTAACCAACTCTATGCCACGAAATGTAAATGAACCTTGTGATGTCTATTAAACAAAAGTTGTTACTTAGGAGAAAATAAATTAAACAAGCAATGTTTTATCATTGAAAAAATAGTTTTAAAACCGAACCGATTTACTTGGTATTAATTAATCAACCAATAAAAATTCGAGACTGTCTTGTCGACTGATACTACGAGAAGAAGAAGAAGAAACTGCCAAGGCGAGTTAATGTGGATGAGTGCCTTTAACTACATAGAGTATCGCATTTTAAGTTACTCGCTCAATGAAGAAGCCTAAATTTTGAATCGAAATTTTTTCGGTTTATAAGATGTATTGAAAGAGCATAATCCACAGAAAAGTAACGTCTTTTAGTTCTCTCTAATTACGAAACTTCATTTTACCCACAATCTAAGCAATCTGTCTGTCTTCTGAGTTATAATTTGACAGTATCTTACTGCTTCTTATATGATTTCAACTTGTCCAGAAATCATGATATAACTAAAAGATCAACACCAATTTTGACAGAAAAAAAATAACCCTGAAAATTATCTAATCTTAATAAGCTCAACAGATGAGTTGTATACGCTATTCTTTTAAATGTTTAAAATAAAGTACTCAAATCTTTGCCACCCAATTCGAACAGAGCTCACGAACACTGAAACTCAGTTTAACATATCTTAATGCCTGAGTTGGTATTCAAACCCTGTCCACCACATTCATTCCTGATAAAGACCAGAGTAAGATGCATGGAAAGAAGTAAAACCTCTTCAGAACTTTATTTAAATGTTGAAAGAAGATCGTAATTAAATCTTTAAACCAGTAAAAAAGTAATTAATTGAAATTTCGACTTAGTTAATACTCTATCAAAAGTGAATTAATCTGAGAATCAATACATCTGTCGACCCATTAATTTTTTAATTTAGCTTTTCCTTCAAATCATTATAATAAGAGTTATCTAGCAATCGTTCTAGTGATTTTAGTGGGCCATTGAAAATTTGTTTTAAAAGCACTGTACTGACTTGTTCACTTATGTTTCCAGCTGTTTCAGTTAGTGTCAGTGCTTGGACTTTAGTTTCGATGTCGGTCGAACGCTATTATGCCATCTGCCATCCATTAAAATCTCGAGAATGGCAGACTCTGTCTCATGCCTACCGGATGATCGGAGCTGTCTGGGTAGGATCGATTTTCTGCATGCTCCCCATCGCTGTCCTCAGTGAGCTGCAGCCGCTCCGTGGGATTGGTAAGTGATTTTACTCCCTTTTTAATATACTACCTTTGTTATCTTCAAAGAACTTCAATTGCTAACAAAGAGTTAAAGCTTACTATTTTCTATCCTCTCTACATTTCCAATCCACACACTTCACTCAAAAAGTTAAGCTAATATATATATTTTGTAGAAAAACAAAAAAATATTTAGACATATATATATATATACTGAATTCTAATTTCGATGAATAAAATAATAAACATGTTTACCTGATTTACTTGATGTTTGCTTTACTTGACATTTTCTACAACAAATAACCTACTTGGCGTATAAGCAACATGATAATGACCAAAACTGCAGAACATTTTTTATTAGCACCTACTGACCCAACGTATCAAAGAGTATTCGTATTACTAATACCTACATATGCAATATTTCAGGGGTTATCTCTTTATTAACACTTACTGACATAACATATCTAAGACTATACTTTTTACTAACATATACTGAAAATGCATATCACTCAGTATCTTATTTCTAGCACCTACTGGCACAACATATCAAAGAGTATATTATTACTAACACCTACTGAAACAGCAAATCACTTAGTGTCTTTTTACTAACGCCTACTGAGACAGCATGTCACAGAGTATCTTTTTACTAATAACACTGGCATAATATATCAAAGAGTATATTTTTACTAAGACCTATTGACGCAACATATTACATAGTATCTTTTTACCAACACCTAATAATAAACAGAGTATCTTTTTATTAATATTTACTGACACAGTATATTACAGAGCATCTTTTTACCAACACGTGCTAGATTAAAAATATCGAGACTTGGATGTTCCTTAAGTATTATCATATATTTTTCAGACAAGTGATGTTGGCTTTGTTTTAAATATTATTAGAATAGCCTTGCCGTACTAGGCCCTGTCTTAAATGTTACTAGATACATGATTTATTGTGCTCCGGACTCCCCGCTCACCTAATAGTACTTTAAGCCAACACCTAGTTTTGTGTTTTCTCTAAGAAAGGTATATTATGTTATTTCTTTATTGTTAGTTTCATTAATAGTATTTGTTAGAATATTTAATCTATCTAATTTTAGTATTTTTCATTTTATTTTTTACCATTATGTTTTTATTGTAGAGAAGATTTTGCATTGTTAGCTCAGTATTTGTGTTCAGGGCTAACCTAAATCTTTTAAGGTGAAAGAACCTTAGGGGATATAATTGGGTTTACAATCTAAGATATCGTTAACAGTGAGGGTACTCAACTGATGAAACAACGCATTCCAATCTTTATAAGTAATAACGTAAGAAAAGTATACTTAATTAGCTTTACTTATTCTTAGGTTTATTTTTAATTTTGCTTTAAATAGGTAACTCGCTCTGATCAGAAGTTAAACTTAATAAGACACATCTCATCTCAGTCCAACCCGTTAGTAGGATGGCTTTGCCGTGCTAGGATATGCCTTAAATATTACTAGATTAGTTAGTAGTAATGCTGCCATGCTAGAATCTGTCTTAAATATTACTAGATTAGTTAGTATTAATGCTGCCATACTAGAATCTGATTTTTACTAATGTTTACTAATGAAGATGAAGACGGTTGATGAAACATAAAACACTTTATTTACAAGGTTCGAACGTTTCGGAATAACTTATAACATCTTCAGCGAAAATCTGAAAATCGTGTTACAATGATGATTATTACTAAAATTTAGGAGTATCTAACAGAACCACCCCCGCCAACTCTTGGGCTACTCTTTTACCAACGAATAGTGGGATTGACCGTCACATTATAACGTTCCACGGCTGAAAGGGCGAGCATGTTTGATGAGACGGGGATTCGAACCCGAGACCCTCAGATTGCGAATCGAGTGCCCTAACCACCTGGCCATGCCGGGCCTTACAAAGAAGGAAGCAGAATTTGAAAAGAAACATTCTGGTCGTTTTTCTTCTATTTGAATATGCACTGACCAGTTCTCCCCCTAATTTTCAGTAATAT